TGAGCCATCTCGCCAGCCCCAATTTTACTCTTTTGAGACAAGGTCTTTGTTGTCTGAAATTCCAGAACACCTTGAGCTATTTACAAGAGCCTGTCTCAATAAAACAAAGACAAACAAACAAACAAAAACCCAAAACAACAACAAAATACAAAACCCTTACATCTAACAAATTATGTGGGGTCCAATTTGTTTTTTTTTAAATACATAGCATCCCCTTGTCTGTAATAGGAATTTAATAATTCGAGCCTTGCTTATCTGGGTCAGATCCCACTCCTGCATAACATTGACTATCTCCATAGAAGAAGCCCGTACATGATATCTAGCCGGCCACCATCAATTTCCTGCTGTGTCCCTGTAGGATTGTGTGAGTCCATACCTGGAACACAGCACGTGCTCTGAGTTGAGTGGCACACAGCGGAAGCATAGAACACTGCTCCCGCACAGACTGGTATGCTCCAGTGACAGGCTGTCTGATGGTGTATTGTAGGTTCCAGCTCACACATATCACTGCTGTAATCAATCTGCCAAAAGGGTGGTCCTCTGGAATTCATTTAAAGCACACCAGAGTTGACAGTAAATTAAGAGAAGTGATTGGTTCCGTTATACAACATTTATCACATGGTTAAAGGTGCTGACTGCACAAGTCCTCATCCAAGTTCAAAGGAGACAATAGAAAATTACACGGTGTCCCCTTTGTTCCCAGAAGGTTGTGGAGTCAGAGAAGGGTGAATAAGGGTCCCCTGGCATCCACTCTGTAAATTCTGCTGCAGGTCTGGGTCCATGCTTGCCCTGCACTGCTTCACCAGCAGGTGGGACCCGGGGTCATCTAACCGGTGAGAGTTAGAGTCATCTTAGGCCACTGAGAACAGTCCCAAGTTTGTGTAGCTGGCTCTGCAATACTGTTTGTGCTGTGTGTTTTGGAAACAGTGAGGGAAGGCGAGAACTAAGCTCTCTGATAAATACCTCTTAGGAAGAAAGTGTGAAGGGGGAAATGATGCCTCACTCCAGAGAGAACAATGTCTTTCTTCTCTTTCAAATGAAAGTGTGGATAGAAACCAGAACTTAATATTAGGTTGAGTCAGCAAAATCTGGTGATTGTGTTCAAACAGCAGTGGAATTGCAGGCCTTCTCCCCAAGCTTACACACCTCTGATGGAAGGGTCACAATGCAGGCGGCTGTCCCCTGGTGTCTCTCTCTCCTGTTCTGAAAGGTCTTGTTTTTATTGTGAGGTTTATATGGGGCTCACCTGAGTTGAAACTAAGGACCCTGAACATTTCTTAGCTCAGTCAAGTTGGTGTTGAAGTATGTCTGCTCTCCAGCTAGAACAGAAGAGTACTCATAGCAGGAATCTACACTGTGCACCTGCCCTGCCATGACTGTGAAGCTAGTTCTGCAGGTCACACAAAAGGCAAAGCCCCTTGGCTCCTGTGCTGCTAATTCTCAAGATGTTGGATCTGTGTCCTGGTGAAGTGTCAACAATGAGACAGCAAGCCAAAAGTCTCATCAGAGCCAAATGGCCCTCTGAGAAACTCCCAGGTGTAGATTGGTTCCAGCATACCATAAGAACATGAAGACCCCCATCTCCAAATAAGGCAGATGATGCAGAACTCTGGTGTGCTTTAAATGAATTCCAGAGGACCACCCTTTTGGCAGATTGATTACAGCTAGTCAAATTTAACTTGTGCTGTAATTTGACCACAGATGGTCATGGGCTAGTTGGCTTGCTTTTAAAAACCACGGGGGGGGGGGGGGCAAAAAGTTGTCATAGTCAGTAAAGTACTGCATGAGTGTGAGGGCTTTTACCCACATAAAAATTTCGCTCGCTCCGCAGTACATGCCTGCTCTCCCAGTGATGGGGAAGTAGAAGCAGAAGGATTTAGTTGTCTATTTAGCAAGCTCTAGGCCAGTGAGAGACTCTGTCTCAAAAATTAAGCTGGCAAGCAACTGCAGAAGACACTTGATGTTGACTTCTGGACTTTAGCCACACACACATACACACACCCCACTTCATCTGAACAAGGCCCACAGTCAGGCTTCCCCCATTTGCCTCCCTGCTGCTTAGGTGACAAGGCGACAGAAGACTGAGAGGCTGCGTTTCCCAGCAATGGTGTGGCTTCCCAGCAGCCTTGGCAGTCCCCCTTCAGAGTGCTTGTCCTTGTTATATGCTGACCTAAGAACTACACCTCCGCATGGGGGAAGAAGTGCTTTGTGGTAGGTAGAGCAAGCCCAGTCACTGATAGCAACCCAGGGTGGCAGCAAGTGCACTTAGGTGGTCTGAGTGGTGGTCAGGGGGCATCAGAACCCTTGTTCTGACTGGTTGTGTACCTTACTGCTGAGTGTTGTCCTCAAGGACACTCTGCCAAGGAGATAATAGACAAGGCCTTCCCCTTCGGGGCATGGCCCACAAGGTGTCTCCCTCATTTCTAAACACATCTTTTCTGTAGAAAGGGGAGAATGAACACGGAGGATTATGTCCCAAGCTTGTTGGGATGCTTCTGCATACCTACCTCACTGTGACAGCACCTTTTCCATTGCAGGCAGAGTAATTACTTCAAAAGAGGTGGGTAATTGTGTAACTAGCACATGACCTTGGCATTACCATTGTGAGCTAGGTAGGCATGGGGTTTGGCGTGTTCTGAGGCTGGCCATACCTCTGTGATTAAAGGGACCATCTTTTCAGACACCTTGGTTTCTTTATGTGTTAACTAGAATTTGTTTGCCTAGTTCGTAGCAAACTACAAAGTTGCAAGAATTATAGTTTACCTATACTTTATTTCTCATGGAATAATAAGACCCATTGAAGAATTATTCTATAATTATTCTATAAGAAAAAAATGCTTCATTTAAAAAGGATTTTAGATCACATAAAATATGTGCTTGAAGAGTGTGTAAATTGTGTCAGAAAGCCAGGTGGCACATACCTTTAATCCCAGGAGGCAGAGGCAGGCAGATCTCTGTGAGGCCAGCCTGGTCTGCAGAGTGAGTTCCAGGACAGCCAGGGATACTCAAAGAAATCTAGTCTCAAAAAAAAAAAAAAAAAATTGTGTTAAAAAACTGAAGCCCCTAAGTGTGTCCTGTGACCTGTGACAATACTCACACCCACTTCTGTTGGTCAGAAATGCTGTTCAGGAAGCTTAGGTGGCTGCCTGCTCCTGTACTACCCTCACAGTGGGTGTGCTTTCCATGGTATTGTTAGGAAAAGAAGTCTGTAGTGTGTTAGCTATTTCCCATAAAGATCCATGAAATCTGCCCTTGAGCAGATGCCTCCACAGAAATTCCTTTTTCAGATGCCTACAGCTGGGCTGGCCCCTGCCCCTCTGTTGACCCTCTTGCTGCTCCCACTGAGTTGTTCCCTCCATCCTTCTGCCATACACATCCCACAGTGACAAACCGAATGCAAAATAACCAGCTGGCTGTTTCGTACTGCTCAGGATTAGCAGATAAACTGGGGCTCGAGGAGGCAGGACCCAACTTTTTCTTCTGCATTCCGAGAGACTGCGGTATCATGCTGCCTTGGATTCATAACCTATGATTCTACCCTTTCCCCTTCTACTGTGTGCCATAAAGTGACATAATAAAAATGCAGGAAAATTCGGCTGTAGGAAAACAGTGTTGGAAGCTGTCTTTGTGGGGCTGCAATCGGAACCAGCCAAGCATCCCCAAGTTCGTACCTAAGTGGGGGTATGTGGATAAAGGACAGGCTAGCTATAGACAATAAAGAAAAGACTGAAACAATAAAAGTCAGGAGGGCAGATCAGTCAATACTGAAATGCCATGGGGAGTTTATTTTTCATCACTCTTATATACCTTAACCAAAAAGGGAAACATGGTAACATGTATACGGAACAAACGGACTTCTTCCTCAATTATTCAACTCTTTCCTCACTTAGATTCAACTTCTTGTTTCCTAGCCTTGAGGGTCAGGAGTAGCCACATCTCAGATTCAGGTCTGTTGTTATTTAGAATAAGACAGGCAAAGAGCCTACTGTAGCCACACCTTTGACCTTTAGGTCTTATGACTTGCTGAGGACAGTTTTGAACTCTCTGTCCTTGAGCCAAGATGGAGTGCAGCCATTTTTATGGGCACTGACAATACAGTGGCTGCCAAGTCAAGTGATCAAGAATAAGTCAGCTGTTCACATTGTCTTCTTTCTAGGTCATCATATGAAATAAAATAATAAGCAATTAAACTCAATGAAAAGAAATTAACCAGAAGAATTTAACCAAATATTAAGACATATTTTTGTATGCTAAAGGTTGTGTTCACCTGAGGCAAAGTTGTTCTCAAGTATGGATCATCACTTAGGCTGTCAGAACAAAGGCTCCCAGACGGGGTCACCTAAACAACAGAGATGTCTTGGTCGTGTCGGAGTCCTTGAGGCTGAAGGCCAGCATGTTAGCTTATCTTCTTCTGAGGCCATGCCCTTGTACTGCAAATGAACCCTTCTCTCCCCTCAGAATCTATTATCTGTGTACATGTCTTTAGGGTCTTTGTCCAAATGTCCTTTTCTGAGGACACTAGCTTTATTTTAATTTTGTCACCTCTTTAAGGGACCAGTCTTCAAATATAGCCACATTTTGGGCTGGAGAAAATAGCTCAGTGGTTAAGAGAACATGTTCTTGCAGAGAATCCAGGTTTGTTTCCTGGCACTTACATGATGGCGCACAGGGGACTTCTAACCCTCTTCTAACCTCCATGGGCACCAGGCATGAATATGGTGACATACATGCAGACAAAACACTCACACATACAATTAAATAAATCTTTAAAAAAAAATTCAGATGCAGCCACATTCTGAAGTATTGGCTTGTAATTTCTGTTTATCCACACACAATTGAGGGGGATACAAGCAAGCCCATAATAGTCTACAGATCTGACAGTATTGATATTGTGGGTGACATGACTCTTTGGAGTAGGGTTTAAGTTGGGACAGAATCTTTGTGTTTATGCTGCATTGTGTCCTTGGATGCCAGTCTCAGGCTGGTTTCTGTTTTGGCAGGCCTGGCAGCTGCGGTTCAGCCATCTCGTGGGATATGGTGCCAAATATTATTCATACCTGATGTCCAGGGCTGTCGCATCCATGGTCTGGAAGGAGTGCTTCCTACGGGATCCTTTTAACAGGTAACAAGGCTAGGGTAGGGGCAGTTTATGAGTTCCCTCCCTGCATCCAATGTGAGCTGCTTAGAACTTTGTGGTCCTGGCAGTGTGTGGGGACACTGTGACCCATCCCTTATTAGGCCTCTCCCTTCAGTGAGCCCTTCTGCCTCCTGATGTGACCATGAACTTATCTTCACTGTACAGCTCTGAGGCCCTGCAGCATCTGCCCAGGGAGTCCTGGACTGCCTCCATGCAGGCTGGTGCGTTCACAGGCTTTCTTGCTAAAGCTTAGGTAACTGGAGTTCCAGGTCTAGGGACACCCTTATTCCTCTCTTCTGTCTACTGTAAGACTTGTTTTCTCCCTTGCCTGGAGCAGCACTGGCCTATGCCACTAACACCCAGTTTGTTTCTGGAAATGGACCTTCTTCTTGCTTTGAATGCCTTCTTTCTCTGGTGAAATTGTCCATACAGAAAATGGGCCATCCGAAAGAGGGACCTGTGTTCCTGTTCACCTTCACTCAGGTCCTTTCCTGGTGGCCACTCACTGGCCCTTGAGCAGCACAAGTAGCTGCAGTACACCGCCCCACATAACTCCCTGCTGTCTGGCCTCTGAGGGACCCTGTGAAGCTTTGCCCCTATTAGGATGACCAGTGGTTTAGACTAGCATTGATCATTTTGATATAATTTCAAGACATGACTTTCTAGGTCGCTCTTAGCACGATTATCAGTAGATTGGCAGCAAATGTACCCCTTGTAGTGACTGTTCAGAAGTGGAAGGAGCATCAAGTCTACTCCTTGCCAGAACACAGCCAGAGCTGGCCATAGAATGCTCAGGGGAGGGCCAGTGGCCTGTCTTCTAGCCTAGGTCTAGAGGGTGTGGGCCTTATACGGGTCAAGAATAGCAGAGCATCTTATGTTATGTCTCTGTTTGAGTTCCTCCTGGTGTCCTCACAGGACCTTGTAGCAATAAGAGCCTTGTAGCAGTAAGAGGACCTGTGGCCCTGGCCTAAGGATTCCTTAGAAGGAGCTTCCTTTGGAAGCAAACCAGTAATTACAGCCTGATGTCATCATTGCTTAGAGCACTGCATATCCTCACCACCTAAATGAGATATCTCTAACACTTCCCAGGCAGTTCCAGGAGATGGCTATCGGCTCTGCACTCTGTCTGTACACAACTCCCTGTTGTAGCCTTCCAGCAGCTGGGCAGAGCTGGCTTTCCATAAGAGTACACTGGGGCTCATGAGATGGGTGATAGCTAGCAGAGGGACCAAGAGGGTTCTATGGGTCTCCAGCCCCACCTCCTTGTCCCTGCATACTCCCTCTACACCTTAGCTTTTTCTGCTGTTTCACAGATTCAGATAATCTCAGAAGTTAATAATCACATTCAGTTCCAGAATCTTTTCAACTTGGATCTGACATCACAGGTTTTTTGCTGTTTTTTAATAGCTTGGTACCCACATTTTACTTTGTCTCCTGCCCTTTGCATACTGCAGACACATAGCCTGCTTTACAGACTTTATTATTTCCAAAGGGTCTACAGCCAACTTGACTACAACAAATCAGGGATGGTAGCACTTTACTGAAGATTTCTATAAAATGGACAAAATATCATCTTGTTTGAAGGAACTATACTTTAATAGTAAACCACATGCTAATAAAAACCTATCTCCAAATATTTCTCTGTTGGTTATATGTGAATTCTTGCCTAGACACGTAGCTGCTGTACTTTTATGATCATGTAAATGTTAGCTTGTAAAAGTAGTCTCTGGACTAGGAAATTTTAAACTCTGTCGAAGAGTCCTTGTTTCTTTCCCTTGTTGTGTTTGCTTTAGGTGTTTTGTTTTGTTTGAGGCACTTGGTACAGGCTGCCCTGTACTCATGATTCTCCCTCCTCAGCCTCCAGAGTTAGGCTTACAGGTTGCACCAAAGAACCCTTCTGACCAAGAGCCAGACTCTGGGGTTCCTTGGGGGCACAGGACTCAAGAGCAGAGGCATGCCAGGGGGAGGGGCCATTGAGGAGGGCTTTGATTGGAGGGAAGGGTGTTATCTCCTATGGCCAGAAGGAGGGATGCTACCTCCTCCTCCACACCAGACCAGAGGTTGTCCAGAAGCTTCTTCACACTTTGCTCTGGGAAGGCCTTGGCTCCGTGTGAGTTTCCTGCTTTGTCATACTGTTCACATTAAGATACTGACCATGGACATGATGTATTGCTGCCTGGTAGTCCAGCACCCAGGTGAAAAACCAGGTGTAATGGCACAGTCTGCAATCCCAGTACAGGAAGGTACAATTGGGCACACCCCAGAGCTTGCTGGCTAGCCAGCCTAGCTGAATCAGTGAGCTCGAGAGTCAATGAGAGATACTCTCAAAAGTCAATGGAGGAGTCACCTGAGGTTGACCTCTGACCTTCACATGCTCACACACTTGCACTTGCCAGCTACACGCACATGTGCTTCAAGAACACACACCACAAATACAAGTCCAGTTATAGACAGAATTATCTAATATATTAAAAAAAATACTCCAGAGCAAATAGAATAAAAATAATATGAGAGCTGGGTATGTAGCTCAGTGGTAGAACACTCACTTAGCATGTTCAAGGCCCTGGGTTCAATCACCAGTACCATGCCAAAAAAGTTACCTAATCACATTAAACTGTGTAGTTGGTTGTATAATAAAAGAACTATAATTTGCAAAAAATATAAAAACACTAAACTCTTTATTTTTAAGTATAAAATGTTCCCAGAGCTCAAGATATATGGATAGAGCCACACTGTGTACACAGGTATGGATAACAGAATATCTTCCCCAGGGCCGCTGGGGAGCGCTACCGAAGAGAGATGTTAGCCCACGGTGGGGGCAAGGAGCCCATGCTCATGGTTCAAGGTAAAGTACAGCCCACACTGCCTCATCTTCTGGGACTGAGGGTTTGTTTTCATCTTCATGGGTTATGTGACGGTAATTTAGAGTGATGGTTATAATTTTCTAAGAGAAAACAGTTAAGTGGCCAGAAGTCCCAGGAAATGTGCCTTTCGCTCTGAACAGGTCATAGTGGAGAGTTTTTTTTTTTTTTTTTTTTTTTTTTTTGGTGGGGGGGAGGGGTTGTTGTTGTTTTAGCCTAAAGAATTCATACATTTATTACTTTTTTTCCCTGAGAAATCTAAAGCTTGAGAGGTTAGAGATTTGATCTATTTTAAAATTTGAACCTAATAAAAGCATCTTTTTTAAATATTATTTTTTATTGACTATTTGGGAATTTCACATCATGCATCCTGATCCCACTCCTCAGTCTTCCCATGACTGCCCCTTCCCCCACGACCACCAACCCCCCAAAAAAGTCTCTTTTCTGTGGTTCATGTATGTTCACTGGAGCATGGTTGAGTTCCTAGTGGCCAGCCTCCCAAGGGAGGATGAGCCTTTTTCCACCTATATCTATGCCAGACTCCATCAGCTGATGAGAGCCCTGTAGTGGCCAGAACAGTATGAAGCTAGCACTGCAGCGATATGGGCCACCAAGGAGCAGGACTAGCTCTCCTGAGCCCATGGTCATCAACATGGATTCAGGCAGCAGCCCCAGCCACAGACAGATGCAAAGGCTTGGTAATAACATGGGCCACAGGCATCAACATGGTCCTTGGCTGTATCAGGACCATTGATGCACTCATGACCCTCAGTGGTTGCACTGATCATAAGCCTCAACATGGCTTCGGATGCTTACACATGCCACTTATATCAGCATGGATCCCCCAGGCAGCAAAGCTTGAGGACATCACCAATACTAGTGTTCATCAAAGTCTGGGGCAGCAGCATGGACCACGAACAGCAATGTGGCCTCTGGTAGTATCTCAGAACACAGTGCTCCTTTGGAGAGGGTCGGTGGCTGTGTTTGCATCTGCATAAGCTCTAGGCTGTAGTGTACAACCCTGCAGACCCACTTCGATTTTCTCTTTTCCACCTCTGACCGTCATATACTTGTTCACTGTAGTGGCACTTGGATGTCTTCCAGCCACCTGCCACATGGCCCCAGGAGGCCTAAAGCATCTTTTGTATAGTACCAAAATTAATTCTTGTTTTCTTATGTAATTGGCAAATTTTAGCTTGTGGAAATTTTAATTGTAGGTGGAAATGATCATCATGAATTTTCATGGAATGTTCTCACAAATATTTGTAGGGAAATGTGCTCCTTATTGGACACTCTCAGTATATTGACAGTTATAATTATAGCTAAGTCTTTTGACTGTCTAATGAAATTGCCCTAGGAAGTAACTCCCAGTATTTGGGGAGAACTGTTCTATTGTCCCGGTAGTAACTGTTCTCAGGTGTCCTCTTGCCTACTTCTGTTGACCCTAAGCCTTTGATTCTTCCCATGTTCATCAAGCCTGTGAGTGTAGTGTGCAACAGGCCTGCTTGTAAGCTCCAGGGGTAGAGGAGTAAAAGATGCCAAAGCAAACACTACTCCTGTGAGTTTGTTCATTTGGTCAGCTGCCTGGGTTGGTTGGTAGTTGAGATGCTGGTCCAGGTGCTTGTTGATGTTATGGTCATGCATCCGTGAACAACTCCAAATTGCCTGCTTTTAACGAAGACCATATGCTAATGTTGCCTCAGTGTCCTTGCTCCCTCTTGGCCCTTCTTGAACTTTGCTACATCTAGAACTGTTTATGTGTGACTTTTTCCTTGCAATCGGATCTGGCTATGTTGCCCTGGCTCTTAAATGGAGCAGCCCTCCTCCTTCAGCCCTCTGAATAGCTGGTACTATAGGCATGCACTGTCACATACCTCGCTAGAACTGTTTTAAAAGGGTCTCCCATTGTAATGTAATCGCCGTAGGAAGCCTTTGGAGGCATGAACCGTCACATTCTCCATTATATAGGTGATGAAGCAGGCCAGACACCCTGCTCCTGTTGGGAGTTGTGATCAGAAGAGCCAGGTTTCAAGCCTGGTCCTGCAGCAGAGACCAAGCTTCTCAGATGACAGAAAAACAGGCTCCAGGCAGAAGGGAAATGAATTGGCTCTGATAGTGGACAGTGGATTGCATACTGGTAGTACAGGGTCCCATGTGATATCGTGGTGATTCTGTGCTGTATGTGACATCTGTGCTTCCCTGATTCTCAGTGCTATCCTCGCACAGATATTCATTTCCATGCACAAGTCAAAAACTTCATTCTGCTCATGGTTCTCTTGACTGCTCTGATTTTCCTCTTCCTGCCCTGATCATGGTGCATCCTCCCTGTACAAATTCTATGCTTTATCTGAAACATTTTTGAGCTAAGAACCAGTATTTTTTTTTTTTTTCACCCAAATTCCCATTCTCGTAAGAGAAAAACCAGTTGATGGTTTGGGCTACATTTATATTCCAGTTAGCATCAACAGTCACCTATTCTGCTTATATACTATTTTATATTTCTCCTCATGTTTTCCCACCATATACTACTATTGATTCACAAAATATATTACATGAATTGTGGGGGGGGGGCTATGCATCTGCGGAGAGGTGACATCATCTGTTGTCACTCAAGAGTTGAATTTATAAAACACGACCCACAATGACTACTCACTTGTATGCTACCAGCCTGTACCCAGAATCAGGATGTCAGATGCTAGCATTCAGCCTTGACTTCAGGGCACCTCTGGGCTTAATTGGTAAGGTTGCCGAGCATTTAATATACATATGAAGAAGCACTCGGTGGAGTCCATCTTCTTTCTCCCAGCAGGCTCTTGTCCCACCCTCCTCCAAGACTGCAGTGGGTACATACCCAGAGTACAAGTGGGAGACACTTTCCTATCTAGTCAGTATTGACTTTGCATGGGACGAGACAAAACGGAGTATCAGGTGGGGTTTAAATGAAACTTGTTTAAACTCTCAGTCCCAGGGGTATGCTAGCTAAGATAGACTCTGAGAAGTGTTAAAGCTCAAAAGCTTTTTTGGGGTGTGGCAGGCTTCTGGGTGCAGGTGGAGAGCAGTCCCTTGCAGACCAAGTCTGCACTTCACCTTCAGAAGTAGCAGGAGCAGCTGGTCTCCTGACTCCACTGGTCCCGCCCTGGAGGCAGTCTCTAGCTTCCTCTCTGGAAGCTGGGCTCTGAATGCTTCTCACTTGACCCCCACCACTGCTGTAGTTTTCCAGCTCCTCCACGTTTATACAGCTAGCTGCTAAGGTGAGACCTGACTGGCTGAATGTGGGTATGCAAATAAGATGAAGAAACAGAACCAGTCAAGGAGGAGCTGTCAAGCCTGGTTGCTGGAGGAGAATCCCCAGACTGCCAAAATTTGCCAGAACCCAGTAGTCAGGTCCACAGGTCTCTGCCTTTGCAGAGGTGGGAAGGTCAATGAAGACTTTCTGACTGCCCCTGGCATTCTACAGGCTGCTGCGCTCCCTCTGTGTTGTGTGAGTGAAGGTTCTAGCTGTGCCTCCTACACCCTGCTGAGTCTCTGTGTTACCTTTAGTGCCGAATCCAAATACTTTTGCCTAAGATAAAACACAAAGATACAACATTTTCATGCATGTTGCTGTTCTCTAAGATCCATCCTGGAATGTTTTTCTTAAGCTGTGCTGTGATGAGCATGAACCAGAGTTCAGTTTCCTCTCTATCGTTTTAGAATGTGTATAGTTTTCTAAAAAGATAGAGACCCCTGAGCTGGTGAGTATCTAAGCCAGGGCTAGTCTTCCCCTTCCTGGGAAGCCCAACTTTTCCCAACAGCAAGAAGAATAGCCCTGAGTGCTGGAGGTGGAGACTGTGTCAGCAGTTTGTGAGTGCAAGCCAACACCCCGTCCTCCCTAAGACCTTGTTCTATGCTTGTGTGCTCTGTGCACTTGCTGGATTTGGGGGTTTAGATTTTACTTAATTTTCCATAGTTTTTACTAACTACTGAAAGATCATCATGCCAGGTACTTTTCGTGTGTCACCTCCCTTAGTTACCTGTAAGAAGGGCCTCTGTTCCAATAAAGAAACGTAGTCAAGATCCACACCCTTCCACTCCTGCCTCCCTGAAAGAATTGGGACCCAGTTGGTCTACAGATCGTAGGGTGTGACATAAGCGGCCAGGGCTCCTGCTTCCCCCATGCCTGTGTCCTCAGCTTTTTTCAGGGTTGCAGCCTAACTATTCCCATTGTCATTTAGAGCCCCATGTGGCCTCTGTATCTGTGGAGGAACCTTCCTCCTTTTGGCTTCCTCTGAGCACCTTCTACTCCGTGGCAAAGCCTCACTTTCTTACCATGTATAGCAGCAGTTTGTGACCACAGTGACCCTAGAGGAAAGACTGGCCAAAGCCCTGTGCCCTACAAACCCTTGTGCTTTTCGACTACGGCCCCTTCTACAAACAAGCTTTGCTTTATTTTGATGTCTCTATGGCCAAGAGCAGTTTGCATAGATAAATGACTGTCTTCTAAAGATCAGATAAGAGGAAAAATAGGAGATAAATGAGTCAATTCTCAGGAAACTGAAACTCCCAAGTGACTCACAGAGCTAAGGTCTGGAAGCCCGCAAGGCCTGACCTTAAGCTGATTAAAATTCATTTACTACTTAGCATTTCTGCAGATCTTGGTAGGGACAAAAATGCAGTCACTTTGCCATAATAATTCTGAATCATCTCTTCTAACTCATTAGATATTGTTTATGTTCATCAAACCAAAGGATTATGGCTTAGACTCCCAGAGGTCACTCAAGGAGATTAATAAAAGCAATCAAGTCAGATATTTACTCTTCTTTAAATGACTTCTTAGGGCCAGGTATGGAAGACTCCCAGCACTGAAACAGACACTGGGTCACATTATCCACCTAGACTTGGGTTCAACCATCTACCCAGAGACAGTATTACACCATCCATGTAGATACGGGTTCACACCATCCATCCACACACAGGTTCACACTATCCTCCTAGACATGAGTTC